TTGGATACCTCTTGTCATTATCTTGAAGGATTTACTTATTTGTTTACTTAGAGTGCTTTATTTTTCATTCTAGGGAATAGGTTTCCTGGTACTGCACAAGGAATTGAATGATGTGGGGATCATTAGTGGTGAAAAATTATCTTTTGACAACACTTTTGACTTGGAATCATTCCCTCTTGGTGATAAATCCAAAAATTTTCAACACTCGTTTGACATAGGGTTTTTGTTGCCAAAGGGTTTGTATCGGAGGGTACAAGTTTGCGTCTTAATTGGGGCAATGTATTATGAACAAGAACCCTTTATGTGATGGCTCATTATTTAGACAAGCTGTCATCTTAAGCTTTGGTAGTTTAGTAACAAGCATTTTTATCTTACTAAAATTTCAAAGAAATGTGTTATCACTCATGTTTCCTATGAAGAGCATTGCTAAGCAACTTAATTTTTCAGGAAGGTCTAAATGACATTCAGTTTCAGTAAATGTTTGATCCTATTTGCCTTCCCTTTTTTATCTATAAGAGCAGTCAGAGGACTATTCATGCATGAGGAAATAGAAGATTGCAGTGTATACTAGTTGAATTATATTTTGCTATAAGAAATTTGATCTCTTGTTCTTATATTTGAACATGTATGGTTGAAATTCAGACCCCACATATCAGATCATAAGCATTAACTTAATGACCATAAGAATTAGAGGTGTTTTTTTTTTTTAAGATTTATTTATTTATTTGAGAGAGCAGGGATGGGGGGTTGGTGGTAGAGGGGCAGAGAGAGAGAGTATCCCAAGTAGACTCCAGACTCTGCAAGGAGCCCAACGTGGGGCCCGATCTCATGACCCTGAGATCACAACCTGAGCTGAAACCAAGGGTCAGATGCTCAACTGACTGTGCCACCCAGGTGCCCCAAGCATTAGAATTCTTAATACCACTCTTCAAGGAAGAGGCAACTATTTCTCTGCTTCTTTTAATGTCATCCCATATTTTTAATATATGTGCTCTTTCTCTAAACTGCCTTGATAGTGCAGTACAGAATACAAGTCACCATATAAAATTTAAATTCTAACATATGTGAATTATATTTCTATAGATGTTTAAGTGTAATTTGCATTTCCTGTTTCTACTTATAAGGCGCAACTTGTGAAAACAGCCCCTTTATTTATTATATTGTTATACCATGCAGGTTTTTGGTGGGCAAAGAGTAATGTTGTTTATAATAATGAGAGGATTAATAATCCTTGAAACATGTTTCTTAACTAAGTTTGTTGTTTTTTGGTAGTATTGTTTTGCTTGTTTATTTTACCTAGAAAGTGCAGAAGATAGATGTGTGTTGCAAGGTTTGGAAAAGAAAAACAAAAAGCCAAATTGTTTTCTTACTAACTTAGAACAGATTATGCAAGGGAGTAATAAAGCTAATGGAGGTAGCCTTTTGGTGGAAGTTTGTTAGCTCAAAGGAGACCTGAAAGTTGGAAGTTCCAACCAATCATGACCACTAAATAGGCATGCATTTCAAAATCAGTACACCATCATCAGTGACCAAAATAAAATATGGTTGGGGTGCCTGGCTGGCTTAGTTGGTAGAGCATGTGACTCTTGATCTGGGGGTTGTAAGTTCGAGCTCCACATTGGGGGTAGAGATTACTTAAAAATAAAATCTTTAAAAGAAAACAAAAAAACTTTAAAAAATGTACAGTTGTGTCGTAGTTAAATATTTAAGAAAATCCAACAAAAGTTTTTTTAATTTCTTTTTAAGATTTTTTATTTTTAGAGGAACCTGGGTGGTTCAGTCAGTTAAGCGTCTGCCTTCGGCTCTGATCATGATCCCAGCGTCCTGGGATGGAGCCCCGCATCTGGCTCCATGCTCAGCAGGGAGACTGCTTCCCCCTCTCTCTGCCTGCCTGCCTACCTACTTATGATCTCTCTCCCTCTCTGTCAAATAAATAAATAAAATCTTAAAAAAAAAGTTTTTATTCTTAAATAATCTCTACACCCAGTGTGGGGCTTGAACTCACAACCCAAGATCAAGAGTTGTATGCTCTACCTACTGAGCCAGTCAGGCACCCCTCGTAATGACTATTTGTATTTTGATTTTTTAACCTCATGTTTCTTAAACAATTTCATCAGCAGAAATTTCCAAAAAGATTCAACAATGTTTAAAGATTTTATTTATTTGGCAAAGAGAGAAAGAGCACAAGCAGGGGTTGCTGCAGAGGGAGAGGGAGAAGCAGGCTCTCCGCTGAGCAGGGAGCCGGATGTGGGGCTCGATCCCAGGATCCTGAAATTATGACCTGGGCTGAAGGCTTAATTGACTGAGCCACCCAGGCGCCCCAAGATTCAACAATATTAAGAAGACTTTTGTATTATCAGCTCCTAATCTTTCACTGTTTTTAGGGAAAAAGATAATTTCATTATTTTCATGTTATTACTCGGTGTTTCTAAAAGAATGACCATAGGCATGAGAATTACCTGAAACTGAAAATTGCAGATCTCCAAGTCAAATTCTCATATCAAATGCTGATTTCATCTCTGAGGTTTGGATCCAAGAATCTGCATTTTTAACAAATACCATAGATGATTTTTCTCAGTAAAGTTTGGGAACCAGTGGTGTAAGTGATTTTTAGCTTCTCCAACAGACATAAGATTTTGAAGACTAATTGAAATGATGGCTAATTTGTGAATATTTTCTAGTTGAACCCCAGCTAATTTAAACAAATGAAAAATCTATTGTGAAAAATACAAAAACACTGCAAAATAAATTTCAAGTGACCTATTAGCATCATTAACAGTATAATAATAGTTTTTAAGAAAACCTTTAAAAACTGAAATTTAAAAAAAAAACTATTTTCAAAATTACCAAAATAGATTTTATAAAGTAATACTACATGGTATGGAATGAATTGTCTCTCCCCCCAAATTCAAGTTAAAGCCCTAATCCCCAGTGTGATGGTATTTGAGAAGGGAGCCTTTGGAAGGTATTAGGTATAGATGAAGTCATAAGAGTAGGGCCTCGTGTCCTTATAAGGGACACTGGGGAACTTGCTCTTTCTGTCTCTGCCTTGTGAGAACACGAAGAGAAAGTCTGTAAGCCAGGAAGAGAGCTCTCACTAGAACCTGACCATGCTGGCACCCCGAGCTTGGACTTCCAGATCTCTAGAACCATGAGAAAGACTACGGTATTTTTGTTATGAAAGCCTTAGCTGACTAAGGCATAACATAAATGTAAGTTTTTAAAAAAATAATTTTATCAATTCCTGTCCCAGCATGTATAGGCAGAATGTTCCCTCTTCAAATTAAAACTAGCTAAAACCTCCTTAATAAACACTATTGTTTATTAATTTTATTAATCAATAAAATTTTATGTCAATGAAATTAATTTGCAAAACTTGTCACTGATTTTGCTAATGACAAATCACACAGGAAAAACCATTTTCAGATAGCTTAAATTGTTTGGCATTTTTTAGCTGAATTTTTCATGTTTTACTAAAGATTTTTAATTTCAAGTTTTGCTTATAGAGTTCTTGAATTAAAATGAAGACTATCTGGTTATTAGTAAAGTTCTGTGCCTATGAATAGGAAACAAACTTATTATAAATGGTTTATCTAGTTTTACTTGTGAACGCTGCTGTCTGAACATTTCACTTTAGTCACCCATTTTGTCAGCTTGTTACTTTAAGTAAAATCTTGCATGAAGCTTTCTTAATTTTGTCATATGAAATTTCTATTCACCTCATATTTATTGAGCATCTACTATATTCCAAGTGTTGTGAAAACAACTCATTTAAAATTTAGACCTGGGGGCGCCTGCATGGCTCAGTCGTTAAGCATCTGCCTTCCGCTCAGGTCATGATCCCAGCGTCCTGGGATCCAGCCCAGCATCAGGCTCCCTGCTCCGCAGGAAGCCTGCTTCTCCCTCTCCCACTCCCCCTGCTTGTGTTTCTTCTCTCTCTGAGTCTCTACCTGTCAAATAAATAAATAAAATCTTTAAAAAAAATTAAAAAAAAAATAAAATTTAGACCTGATTTTCAGAAATTTGTAATCGAGACAAAAGACTTCATTTTTACTCAGATCTGTGTGCCATCTCATTTATCAAAAATGGCTTGGGGTATCACTGAAGCACAAAAACCTATGAGTGCCTAATATTCTAAATAATACAGTATAATCTGATTTCAATAAGGCATTAAGGACACCTCTAAATGCAGGAGATCTGGGGTCTAGCCGTGAGTCCAGCAATTCACAACCTCTCGCGTACACTTCAGTTTCTCTACCCACAAAGTTAAGGCGTTGGGAGGGACTGCTGATGAGGACAAAACCCTAAACTCCAGGATTTTGCTTCTCTTGCATTCCAAACCTAAAAAGATGATCTATGGAATAAAACCCTGCACTTGGTCCCGGTCACTGAAATGTTTGCAAAAGATTCTAAAAGCTCAAAAAGAGCTCTCAGCAGATAATACCCAATGACGATAAGCGACCCAAACCTGATCTCCTGCGGCTCTATAAACGGAGCTCAGAAACTAAGGGCCACTGGACAGAGTGATTTTCTGCCCCAGAGATGTCCTTGCTTTCCCCCACTGTCGCTGCGGGAGGTCGTCATTCCTCCAGGCAGCTCACGAACAGCAGGGAGGCGAGTGTGAAACACACTCACCGACGCTTCCCCTCCTCCCTGCTCGCTCCTCCTTCCCACAGAAAAATGCGTTTCCAGGCAACGGCGAGCCGCGGCGTCACTTCCTGCCATTTAAACTCGGGTCCCCACCCCTCGCTGCCCCTTCTTTTCGCTTCCACTCCCCCTCCCCTCGGTCGTGGGCTTCATTCACGCTTCTCAGGGCTTGGGGAGGGGCGGAGGCCGGCGCGCCTAGGCGCCCCGAGTCTCGTGGGCGCCGCGCGCGCACCTGTTGTTGCGGGGGCCCGCGACCCTTGGCTCTGCTCTCGGCCGGCGGCGGCTGGAGCGGCCGCTGCAGAGCCGGCCCGGCAGGTGGCGGCGGGCGGGGGCGGACGAGCGGCCGGGCGCGGGGGCCGCAGCACCGCGGCGTGGGGACGCGATGGCGGCGGCGGAGCCCGCAAGCTCGGGCCAGCAGGCGCCGCAGGGCCAGGGCCAGGGCCAGCGGCCGCAGCCGCAGCCTTCCCAGGCGCAGCCTCCGCAGCAGCCACCGCCGCCTCAGCTCGGGGGCGGCGGGGGCGGTAGCAGCAGGCACGAGAAGAGCCTGGGGCTGCTCACCACCAAGTTCGTGTCGCTGCTGCAGGAGGCCAAGGACGGCGTCCTGGATCTCAAAGCGGTGAGCGCGGGAGGCGGGGATGGGGGCGGACTTCGTTGCCCGCGGCCTCCGAAGAAGCCCACCCCCTTGAAGAGTGGGTCGGGCGGCGTGGTGTGGACGCGCCCCGCGGGGACCGGGCGACCCCAAAGCTAGGGCCATGTGGCCGGTGCCCAGGCCCAGGATTCCGGGATGGGGGAGGGACGAGGGACCAGGATGGCCCCGACCGGCCGCACGACCAATAGGGCCCGGCGCCGCGCTGGGCTCTCGACAAAGAGCCTAGGACCTGGAGCGCGCCCGCGTGGCTTCTGGCGCAGGAACCCGAGGGCGACCGAGGGTCCTTGCTGCTCCGCGTCCACCTGTGGCAGAGGCGCAGGGGGTACCCGGGCACTTTGCCTGGAGACACCTGGGGATCGATTTTGCTGTTGGGAATTGATGGTTTTAATAGGCTATTTTAGAGGAGACCGTGTTCCCGTTGTTCGAAACAAAACAAAAAACCCGATTTTGCCACCTCTTCCGGATGAAAGGGGGAAAAAGCGAACTTTCCACACTCATTCCCGGTTGAAATAATAATAGTAATAAAAAAAAAAAAACCCGCTTCCCTGCACAATTCTTTTCATCATCCTGATGATTGGGAGGGGGATATTTGATTTTTGATTTAATTTGGTATCTGATACAGATTTCTAAAAGTGAGATTTGCCGTCACACAGAAAGGGGATGTTTTAGAACTTTGACTCAAGGTGGTGGAAGCGCTCAGTAAACTGTTTCATGAGAACGTGTGCTTCGTCTTTTACTACAGTTTTTCAAACAACAATATGCATCAAAAGCTGTTCGGTTAAACAGAATGACTTAACCGTTCCAGGCAGGATTTGGAAGGATTCCACAATGCCGAGGAACAGGAGAATGTGATTACTTGAATTAAAATTCAACCAGTGCACCAAGTTTAAGTAAGAACCAAAGCTTTAAAAACAAATAGAAATTACTAACGTGTCATTAATCACCGCAGACCCCCTCCTAGGCATTTCCCCGATATCCAAAATCTGATTTTATACTGTTGATTGGTCCCAGCACCCAGGGGAGTGCCAGTGGGACCACCTTACTTGGCTTTGAAAGTGTGACCTAGATCATTAAGGTTGTGCCTAGAGCAAAGGAAACGGCGTCTGAGCCGGAGAGCATTCTGTAGTATTCCCTGAAGGTAGAGAAGAGGACTCCGGGGGACTTGAAGGTTTCTACTAGAGGCCCTCCTCTGAGTGTAGCCCAGGGGGTGATGTTTGTCTTTGAATGCCCTTTCCTTACCCTGAGCACAGTAGATGTTCATTAAGTGATTGTTGAATTATCTGAATTCAAATAAGGCATGATGTGTGCATTTTGCATGTTGGCAAGTAGTTTCTACTGTCTATCTTTTTATTCCTGGAATTTCCCCCCAGCTCTGGAAATTCCTTGTTCTTTCTACAGCCTTTCCTCCCTTGCTTCCTCCCTTAAAGTACTTTATAGTGTATATATAGTATTTAGATTGTCAAGAACTAAAAATGGATTCCGTTTAAAGAATTTCAAAGGAAGTCATGAAGTCATCAGAGAAAGCCAGAGATACTACAAAACATGGCTTGCAAACTGCTATTCAAAATCTAGACATTGAGTTGTATCCTGAATTTACTGTGTAAATGTACTGTGGTTTCAGTTAAAGGGAATCAGGGAAGTTTGGGGTTTTCCAGATAGAGCTGAACTGAGGGTTTAACTTTGAGGGCTTCTTTCTCAACTCAACTGGGAATGTGATGGAACTTCGCCTTACTTGCCTTTAAATTCTTTGGCTTCCTCCTGTTTCATCTAAAGCCATGTAAGTGTTCTCCAGAAGTCACAGAGAAAGTGAGTAGGAAGTAGAATTCAGTTTATTGTAACAGCATTGTTTCATTCATCCTGGAACTTTCCTAAAAGTTTCAAAGGTTTCTGCAGTAACATTATGTTTCTTTGTATTAATGATTTTTTACTCCTAAAGACCACTTTGAGTATCATTTTTTCCACATATACATGAAAAATATACATATTTATTTACATATATGTAAATATATGTATATACATACATGTAAATATATATATTCATATAAAAATCTTACAGTGAAATCTTTCCAGTGATGTTTCTTATTGTGAACCATGACATCGACTCCTGAAAAATAAGAACAGGACGCTACATCTTGGTGATGCATTTCTTCTTCATAATATACCTGAGGATGTAGCTTAATAAAGCAAATAAATTCTAATAAAGCTGTTTGAGTATACTTTAACAATTAGAGATTAGAAACACTTTGAAAGTGGTTTGTGAAACTTACATAGGTCCCTCCCACTCCCACACCTATAGTATATGGTCTTATTTACGAAAGTGGGGTGCAGTACTTATCTTTTTATTCCAGTGAGATGACACATTATCCCTTGCTCCTCTCAAGCTATCTGGCTTGACAATTTATGCTGCTAATAACTAGCATTTATGGAGAGTTTGTTCCAGACTTTTTACATATATTAACTAATTTTATCGTCTTAACAACTTGGAAATTTGGGCCTAACATCCCTATTTCACAGATGAGAAAATTGAAATGTTAAATAACTTGCCCAGTGTCAGAGTAAGATCTGAAAGTAGACCATTTTTCTTTTGTTTATGCTATACTGTCTTTTAGTATTCCTTAAAAAAACCACAAATTTCTCTCATTTAAGTTTTTCAACTGTGTAAGAACATGGAATGTTTCTTCTAAAGAAAAACACATGATTATTTTTATCCCTCTACCCATGACAGAAGAAAGAGGTATTGAGCTCCTATTTTCTTTTAAGATTTTATTTATTCTTTTGAGAGAGAGAGCATGCGCACGCACACGGCAGGGGAAGGGGCAGAGGGAGAGAATCCCAAGCCGACTCCGTGCTAAGCATGCAGCCGGACTTGGGGTTTGATCTCACGACCCTGAGATCATGACCTGAGCTGAAATCAAGTGTCAGAAGCCCAACCTACTGAGCCACCCAGGTGCCCTGAGCTCCTCCTTTAAAAATGAGGGTATTGATGGTGAATTCCACATTATTTCACAAATTAAACTAGGGTTCTACTTTTCCAGAAGTAAGAATTTAAAGCACTGTTAAGATAGTCATGACTATCTATATATTGTTTTGGAAATTCCTATTAAATATAATTTCTAACTGAGTTTCTGTATTTTATTTGTCATTTTGGTGCCACCTTGAATTTTAAAGCATGATTAAGATGGTATTATAATTGTTTATGTTACTAATTGCCTGCATAATACCTAGGTTAAAATGATAAAGTATTTATGATGTTCCTTATCTCACAGGTCCCTGACTCATACCAATTTATGATTAGCTAATTAATATATGCCCTGACTCATACCCAGTTATGATTAGCTAATTAATATATACCCTGGAAGAAATAAATAATTAATCTAAGGCCTTAGTTTGTGACATAAAGCAAAGTTTTGGTGTCACAGTTTAAAGATAGGATTAGCCTAAGGAAAGATATATGAGTAGGACAGCCAGAACTTTAGGGCATACTTAACAATTCTCAGGACAGTTTCACTTTTTTGAGTGTATACCCCAAAGATTTAGAAACAGTGTCTTAAATAGATAATTGTATACCCCATATTCATAGCATTATTCACAGTAGCCAAAAGATAGAAGCAATACAAGTGTCTTATCAATAGATGAATAAATAAACAAAATGTGATATGTACATACAATGGAAGATTATTCAGCCTTAAAAAGGAAGGAAATTCTCTCACACATGCTACAACATGGATGAACCCTGAAGACATTATGTTAGTTACAAAAAGATAAATACTATATGATTCCACTTATATGAAGTAACTAAGAGTAGTTACGTTCATAGAGACAAAATAGAAGAGTGACTCCAGAGGCTAGGGGGAAGGGGAGAATGGGAAGTTGTTTAATGGTTCAGCATGTTATGGGCTGAACTGTGTCCTCTCAAAATCCATATGTTGAAGCCCTAATCCTCCGTACCTCAGAATGTGACTATATTTGAAGATAGTGCCTTTAAAGAGATGATGAAGTTAAAATGAAGTCATTGGGATAGGCACTAATCCAATCAGACTGGTGTCCTTAGAAGAAGGGAAATTTGGACACACAGACGCCAGGATTCATCCCCCCAGAGAAAAGCCCATGTGAGGACACAACGAAAGGGTGACCATCTGCCAGCCAAGGGGAGAGGCTTCTCAAGAAACCAAACTTGCCAACACCTTGATCTTGGACTTTTAGCCTCCAAAACTGTAAGAAAATAAATTTCTGTTGTTTAAGCCACCCAGTCTGTGGTCTTTTGTTATGGCAGCCCCAGCAAACTCATACTATGGATTTAGAATTTGCCAGAGGATAAGAGTTGTGGAGATGGGTTGCGTGTCAGTGTGAATGTACTTAAAACTACCAAATTGTACACTTAAAAATGGTTAAGATGGTAAATTTTATGTCATGTGTATTTTACCAAAATTAAAGAAACCTATAAAGCAACAACACGAGATACTACGACATACCTATTGGAATGGCAAAATAACACAAAACACTAGCAATACTGAATGCTGGCAAGAATGTGGAGCAACAGGAACTCTCATTCGTTACTTGTGGGAATGTAGAATGGTACAGCCACCTTGGAAGACTGGCAGTTTTTAGAAAACTGAACATATTCTTACCATATGATTCAGCAATCACACTACTTGGTATTTACCCAAATGAGTTGGAAACTTATGTCTACCTGCACATGAATTTGTATAGCAGCTTTATTTGAAATTGCCAAAACTTGGAAGCAACCAAGACGTCTTTTGGTAGGTGAATGGATAAATAAACTGGCACATTCAGACAATGGAATACTATTCAGTGCTTTAAAAAAAAAAAAAGCTATCAAGCCGTGAAAAGACATGGAAGAACTTTAAATGTATATTACTAAGTGAGAGAAGCTGATGTGAAAAGGCTACCTACTGTATAATTCTGCTATATAGCATCCTGGAAAAGGCAAAACTATGGAGATAGTA